TGGATGTATGAATGATATGTTGGATGTTATTACATTTTTTACAATTATTAATTAATTATAAATGTATGTTCCTTACTTAATAAAGACCTGTCTCTTATACACATCTAGATGTGTATAAGAGACAGGCTATATATATAGCATTAGTACAAAACTGTTTAGTGTTTATCTCTATTATATTATGTTACATAAATATTTTAATGTATATATGTGTTATTAAATTAGTGTTATTAAAGCTATCATCATCACACTCATTATCATTAGCTGTGTAGCTAACCAGTGTTGTTGACATTTGCTTACCTATAGTCTGAGCTCTCAACCAGTATAATGTACCATTCACATACATATATTTGTTTTCATAATTTATCCTCACGTAAATAGGAGCAACCGGATGAAGATTTTGTGGGCAGCATTCAAAAAATTTGTTCTCTGACCTATCTGCTATGCACTGTTGGTACTCATCTGAACAGTATCCTCTGTAAATATACAAATACACAATACATATAAAATAATGGATCATCCAAACCTTTAGATCTCATTCATCACCATCTTCACGCAAACACCACCACCACAAACACTGCCCTCATTCTCACCATTATCATCACCATCACCGTCATTATCATTATATGTATTTTCTACACCCCTGGACCACTTTAAAAATATTTTGAGGAACGCCCGACCAAGCCCAATTTGTTCTCGTCGGGTACATTGTCCCCTCCTCCCACCTCGACGGGAACCTCAGACTCCCTGTTGGGCGAATCCTGGCGCAGATCAGTCATTAGTTTCCCACCGCCCCATGTTGTCAGGGTGTATATTTGCTCGAAAATTGTCGTTGGTTTGATTGTGTTTACAATATACGGTACTATCAGGGGCTTGTGTGGTAAGACTCCCTATGACAGTGAGTTATCAGTGGTATTAGTGGTTCAGTTTCAGCTAGGAGCATTCCAAACAATCCATAAGAAGGTTTTTGTGAATAGGCTATGCCAATACGATCTTTCCATTATTGTTCCTTCGAGTGCTGTTTCTACCACTATTTTATTGACCTATATTAACAAATAGATAACTAGTAACTACAGTGATAATAAGAATGATATTATGATCGTACAAGTAGCTTGTCAACGAAAGACATAAAAGGTACTTCTGACAGGATTTGAACCTGCAACATCTCGCTATCAAGGCATCATACCGCCTGATTAAGAGTAAAAATTAAAGATTGGGTTCAAGCTTTACTTTATTCTTCCTGACAGAAAATAGCTCAATTTGTTTTTCATACCAACAAGAGAAAAGTACAAAATACAGAACAACAGGAACCTATACGATGTAGACGTAGAGCCCAACACCCACACACATTTAACATAGTTGCAGCTAGTTTAAAATGATTTTGAAAATAAAAATTGCATTCATAAAATAATTTGTCCATCCATTAATGTTATAGAATGACGTCATATTTTAATATGCATATCTTTGATAAGGTCTTTAAGTACTTGGACAATGTTTGAAGAAGATGCAAGCACGGAAAGTGACCAAAGTGCCCGACAGGAAAACCCTGTGTAAAACAATATGAAACAGAATAGAAGCAGAAATAAAATCAGCAGTAAAAATTGACTTTTAAGCTGGTGCGGGAAAGAAAAGCCAATAAAGGTGCTTGAATGTACTTTAGGCCTACACTTGATGCCATGATCATATTAGCATAGCTCTTCAACGAAAAACTCTCTTTTCAGGTGCATAGAAATATCATCATCATCATTATCATCGCAGCATCAGCATCCTCATTATCATCATCATCATCAGAAGTAGCATCATCATCTTTATTTCAACTTACCTTCCTTGTCTATAATACATTGTATAATTTGTTGATACATTTCCTTTCCACCTGACACACAAGTCTGATCCAGTCGTTGATCTGTAAGTAATCTCTTGTGGAGGATCTACAAAATATATACAGTATTGTGCTTAAAAAATTGCAGTACAATTTACATGACCACTTTTAATATTTCAAGTCTCTGGGTACTGTATCTGTCTTCTGGCATACTGTAGAGCTCTTTTAAATGCCAATAATTGCCCTCTAATTTGAGACCACTCTTGGAACCCTGAAAAATGCGGGCGGTTTCATATATATAAGTCTTTTTATACAGTATATTTTGGTATTAGACTTACGTGGTCGAAGGGATTCATCAATGCAATGCTGGCAGCCTTGCTGACATTTTACAGAATAATGTAGAGAAATTCCAGCTTCAGTGTCATTCATTTGAAGAATCCATGACGTATTTGTAGCATTCTGAATACACTGCTGTGAGTTGAGAAACGTGCACATAATGAATATTTACCATGGATCATGGGGAGGTCGGTTGATATAGGGTAATAGCGTGCATTGTTGATTCTTATACTTTCGCCCAAGAAGTTTGTATTCGCCTGTCTGCTAGCAAGATTATTCAGGAATAGATCATCATAAAATTTAGTGGAATGATACATAATAATCTAAGAAAATGTTGGTTATTTTTGGGAAGAAAAGGTCAAAAAACAAGGTCAAGATCATGGAAATTTGATTTTCATCTACTTTAAATACTTGGTAAACAAAACTGATGATATAGGAAAGAAAACTGACTTTGAATACCTCTTCTTTCAAAAAGTACAATAAGCTGTATTCAATGTGTATCATCAATCACAAAACAAAATAATATGGCTGTCCGTATGCTGTGGAGTTTGACTTATGAGAAGACGGCCTGTGACAAGGATGCTGTTGATGATGGTGATAATAATTTTGATGATGATATTGGCGATAATAACAATAATGTATTTTGACAATAATAATAATACAATAATCCTAAAATTTTAAAAACCTAGCTACTGATTCACCATATTCTTACCTCCTTACTTCTTAGTTCTTTTACGCTCAAGTCAAATACAGTATTGCTTACTGCTGCAAGTTTTAGGTCTGACATACACTTTTCCTTCCAATCAACTTAAGAAACAAACCGTCATAGTTTTGTTATTTAGACAAATATTTTTAAACCCATGTGAAAGGGTTATTCAATCAAAAATACATAAGCACACTGGAGTGTGGGTATGGAACTGATCTTTTACAAAAACATAAAATCAAAATGGTAAAATATGTTTAAACGACAAAACAATCCAGATTCAACAATTACATCTTTCGAAAAAATACAGTATTCAAGACCTATTTGTTTTCAAAATATTGACTTTATTTTATTTAATACCTCCCGTGGATGGGTGTTGGATGTATGAATGATATGTTGGATGTTATTACATTTTTTACAATTATTAATTAATTATAAATGTATGTTCCTTACTTAATAAAGACTAATAAAAATAATATAGGCCTATTACTATTGTGTCCTTGTTTGGGCTAAATGTTTAAGGCCTGTCGTTTATTTTGTGTACTTTTTGCTCTTACCATCAACCGACATGTCCCCTCCAGTGTGGAATGTGATGCTTTTTTCTTCACTCCATCTGCCTTCAATACGGTAACACTGAGCCGTATATATGTATTGTGTATCATAACTGAGTCCAGTTATTGTCCATGAATTTGGTAGGTATTGAAACGTTTTAGTTTTGCATTTTGCACCGTCTTCAACAGGTGGTGATATTTGACAAATTCGTTTATCCAACAAGGAGAATGAATCAAAATTCCAATCTTCAGGATCTTCAAACTTAAAGTGAACTGTTTTATCATCTAGAAGCTGATAGGTAAAACTCTTGAGTGGATTGGGTATGGCTATCAGGAAAACATAAGAATAAAGTCATTAAATAGGGCTGGTACAGGTACCTTCAATACTGTGCATCCATTGTATGTACGATTATTTCTACACTTGAACTGTACAAAATTATTGCAACAAATGATTCATACCCATTAGTCTAATGGGTATGACACTCGCCTTGATAGCGAGAGGTTGCAGGTTCGAATCTCACAGACACTTTTTCACATACTGAATTAAAGGGACTTTTCGTTGAAAGGCTCAGCTTGATATGATAATATGATCTTCCTATC